CCTTTCCCACCTGTTTTTCTGAATATAATTCTCTTTAAAGAAGCTTTAGGAGCAGCCACAGGTCAGAATCTGCAGTATGGAGGGCAAGCAGCAACGTGGAATGAAGTGGAGTTGGCAGCTTCCCTTCTGCCAAGCTTTCTAAATGTGAGAGCTAGAACCCTCAGCCTTTTCATGGTGGGAGGGACCCGATTCCTTCAACAGAAAAATGAAAGTAGTGGTTCTCAACTTTTTTAGATCCGTGACACCTCTAGAGAGACTTGAGGTAGCCCTCAAAAATGCCAGCTCTTACTTCCTCCCCTCCCCCCCCCGCCTTTTTTTTTGACTACAGAAAAATAATAGAGCAACTGTTCAGTTGCAAAGAATTCAGAAAGACTGCAACAAAGCAGGACAGGTTAACACTACAGATTCCTAGTTAAAATCTCTGGGTTTATCATGTGAGTCATGTTTGTCCACACAGCAGTGCTAACACTGTGGCATCCTGCAGCCCCTTTGAAAGGATCTCAGGGCATCCTGGCTGGGAGTCGCTGTTTTAGGGTGTAGACAGGCATTCTGACTGTATTGCTATTATGCACCTATTACATCTGCATGGTTCTGTATCAGTAAAAGTGTAGCTAAACCTCCCTGACTTTACCCCCGCTTCCACCCCGTGAAAGTTAGGGTGATATAGCTCACTCACTACAGGACATACCAGTTACAGCATAACAGCTGCAGCACGCTTCAAGCAGAAGCTTTTTTCTCTTATTTCAAGTGACTACAAATGCACATTTGTCTATATCCTTAGAAAGGAATTCAATGATACAGAAAGATAGAGCTTCCATTCCCTGAGCGTGGGGTCCTATATTTCCCACCTTCCACTTTTGCCCCCCTCCCCCATTTCTCTTACAGTGTAAACGAAAAAGAGTGATAACCAATATTAATAAGCTTTTTCTTTTTCTGAGTGCTTAATAACCATTAGATAAATACATAAATCCCACAGTGATGAGAGGTAGGATTGATATAACTGGAAGATAGAAAATAAAGAGGTTCAAGAATTTGTTTAGGATCATAGTGGCTAGCTTAAGGTGAGAAAAGGTCAGGTTTAGAAAAGGTCCCTGCCTTCTAGCCCTTATTCAAACTTAACAGGAACCTCTCAGTGTGATTGTGTGTGTGAATATGTATTTTGCTATTAACGTATATAACAGAGGTCAGCTATTTTGGCTAAAACTGGAAATAAAGTTCTTTAAATGTCATGGGAAAAAAGGTTATATACTGAGAGACTACATGGTTTAGGGATTCAGAAATGAGTCCAGAATGTAGTTCCCCTAGGGGTGCCAGTTTGAATTCAGTTCAGGTTGATAGAGAATTAAATCAGTGCCATCTGAGGCCTAATCTTTAACATGTATTAAATGAGTACATGGCATTATTCCAGTGTCTGGTGGGTAACTTCCAGCTCACAAAAGCCACCACAATTAGCATTCTTAGTGGAAAGTGATTGATTTGGCCTGGAAATTAATTACTCTTTCCCTCTAGAGTTGGTCCCTTCAGGGCACATTTGAGGGATGTAAGTGGGATATAATGGCAAAGCTGGCCATTCTGGACCCGTTCCAAACCTGTCAGTACAGTCATTTTGTGTGTGTTGTATTAACAAAATAAATACATATTTTTAATGGATATTACTAATCTCACTCTTCTAGGGCTACCATTGTACCACATCTTCCCCATTTCTTTCTTTCACTTTCGCACTTCATTTAAGTTCAGTGAGGGTTTTGAGCAGGATACAGGTATCCAACAGTACAGAGAATTTTGTAACTTTGAGGCATTAGATTACTTGTGTCTTGTACAATTCTGAGCATCTTCAGCACTTATCTAATAATAAATAAAGGTTTTAAAAAGAAGCTTTAATAAATTGCTATCCTTTTATTTTATAGCTGCATGATGACAGCAGCTACTAGCACTGCTATATTTGGTGTTCCGTCAGCATTTCTTTCCTTTACAAACCTCTGTCTTTAGGGGTTTATAAGTTGTCCATAAAATTCACTTTTGGCTTAAGCGTTGCATGCAGCATTTCAGCATGGAACTGAATTTGTGTTAGACTGGGTATAAAATTGGGTCAGCAATATCTAAGTTGTTACATGTGTGGAAAGAAAAAGGCAGCATCTGATACCATGGCACTACTGAATGCTGTCTTGATGTAGACCCCACTGCTGATATTGAGTGTATGACAGGATTGTCCATGTTAAGTCTGAAGGTACAGGTTTTAATAATGTTTAGGTGCTAGCAGATCCTCATGTAAAGTAGTGATGAATTTGGTTCTTGCTGAAGGAAATTATTGAATTCTTTACTAAAAATGTAGGTTGAGTTTATTGTTCATTGATGGATCTTGAAAAAGAGAGAGAACTGAAAATGTAATTTATTAAACTAACAAAAAAAATGACATTTCTTTGAAAACAAAAGGGGAAATATATCTAACAGACTATCACTTTCTCCAGTGTTCTCAATGAATAGAATATGAGTGCACTAATGATTAGCTCTCCTATGCTGACAATACGGTTTTACTTTCCCTTTAGAAAGAATTCAAGAATAGCCTTCTGAAATCAGTATTCAATAGCAGCATGATAGGGCATAAGGAAGTGTAATAAATACAGACCATGTGTGTCCAGTAATACCTTGATACTAAGGCTCTGTGACCAAATCACAAAAAAACAGCCCCTTTTCCTATGTAAGTGAAACACTTCCACAATAACAACTTTCATGATTATCAAACTGCTTTTCTAATCATGAGCTTGACATGGCTCTTCTCCCAGGGTAATAATCTTGATTGCTAGTATCAGAAGTTTATTGTGATGCTAATCAGCTCTGGCCACTGTATTATTTCATGTAGTTGTGGCCTTTATCTGTCTTAAAACATAAAGCAGTAAACAGATTTTAAACATTGTTTGATGGTATGAGGATGGGGGATGTATATATTTTTTGCTTTATTGTGACCTTGAGATTGATATTCAAGGTTCAAAAAGTAGTATATTTAAAATGCTCATTTTAGGTCATTTACTGTGAATACTTAATTGTTTAATATTTTGCAGTATTCAGTGTATTTCTTTTAATAAATATAGAAAATACACAAACATTTTACAGATAAATACATTTGGCCAACTATCTTGGGCAAAGCTGACAAATATGTAAGGGCCACCACTGTGGACTGCATTAACAATGTGTTAAGATTATGCAGTTAGTGTAGATACAGGAGAGTTGTAATAAGATAATAGACTAGTCTCGGGAAAAAAAATCTTTATAATCTTTTTATGGGTATAAGGAACAGATAGAGATGGGCTAATAGATTGTCATTCTTGGCTCAAAATCTCTTCATCCAGTGGTCTTCAGGCCTTTTTTTTTAATGACCTTATGTCACAGCAGGAGTTTGGATAACTGGAGGTTGTTTCAGCAGTTGGGGCTGGCAGTGTGTTATGCAGTTAAATTAATTATGTATGCACTTATCCAATATACATTGTATGCTGTGATCTTTTTGTAAACTGATCAAGTTCCATCTCCAAGCTAGTTCAGTTTTTTGAGGTGCTATCCCCAAATCTTGTTCCTCTGAGTTGTAAAGGCTACCATCACATTTTTAGTCAGTTTTCTCATGGCCAGTTTATACCCTTTTATTTTTGTGCCAGCATTGTTCTTTAGCTTAAATGAGTTCTTTTGTCTCCACAGCTCTGCTTGAATCTATTCTGGGAGGTTTCTGGAATGCCAACATGCCTGCAACACGCAACACAAATGTGTCCATGTGCTTGCGTATATTCGTTATGGATTAGGATGTGTAGCCTTTATATCAAGGCAAATGCACATTACTATTACATTTTAAAAACCCACTGGACTACTGTATAAATTGGATTCAACATTTAATATTTATTTTAATGAATGCCCTATCATTTATCTCCCAGGTGTCTCTCAGCAGTCTCCTGGAGATTTATATCTAATTCCTGGAGACTCCAGGGCAATCCTGGAGGGTTGGCAACCCAGTCCCCAGTGTTTATCCACTTATGTTTATAGACAGTAATAATATCACCTCTCAGCTTTCTTCTTGCTAGATTGAATAAACCAAGATCTTTTAGTTTCCTTTCATGAGATTAGGCTCTTTATTCCTTGTACACCCTAGTTGTTCTTCTCTGAACCTTGTCTATATATCTTTGGGGCTTCCACCTCAACCACCCTTCAGTTATACAAGACCCTGATGAGGTATTTTGCACTCTGCTTTAATTCTGTCCCTGAAAATCTTATGTCTGCTAGCTTTCCCCAATCCATTTAATCTGCATTGCACCCATGATCACCCGGAGGCTTTTTCCTAAGGCAAGGACTGAGTGTTGTGGGAGACTGGCCATGAGCAGAAGTAGGACAGACTGCTCAAAGCTGTAGAAGATTACTTGGTTACTTGTTTAACCAAATGAAAGGGGACTAGAAGGGCAAAGCAGAAAAGAAGAGAATGGGTGTAAATAAACTGGCTTGCTCCTCCAGTGAATATTTTGATGAATTTAGTGCCACAGCCAAGGCCTCAGTTCTTCATTTGGTTTGACATAGTCACCTAAGGGCTAGTAAGGAATCTTAGAATTGTGTAGTATATGAAGGACTGCCATAGTGCTCAATAAAATAATGCCTTAGTGTACATTAGGAATGTATACACCATCCTTTCAATATTTTTAGAGAAGCAAAAGCAGTAAAAAAATATTCTTTGAAAGATTCCCATGGCAGTCTTGTTCTAGGTGTAGTTTATCTTCCCCACTATCAGATCAGGCCTCTTATTCAGTCATTTGTTTATGTGGGATTCTCAGTTCTTGTAAAAGAAGTTAAGACATCACTTCTTGTTTCATGAGTATCCAAGAAGGCAAGAAACAAGAACTCTGGGCTGTAAGAGGCTTGCCTGGAAAACTGAAAAAAGTTTTTTGCTACTTAAAATATATAATTCTATAAAGCTAAAGACATAACAGGCCTGATTCACTATTGTGCTGTATTTTACGCTGGTGGAACTCACTGGAAAAATGAGTAACTGAATCAAGCCTCTGCTACAGTGACTTATCCCATTTAAAGATTGGCTGCTTTTCATTGACATGCCCTTTTGTGATCCAGCAATTAGGTTTGTTTATAGTGTGTTTTCTGTATTCTTCAACTATCTAGGCACATCCCAGGATGTTAAAGATAGAGCACTGATCATAACCAAGGAAATGTGGAGTTTTTTCAATTTAACTTAAATCCTTAGTATTACTGTAACATTTGTGAAGTTTAATATGCAGTTTATTAATAGAAAGAAACACATTAGTGCTGAAATAGCTTATAGAAAAGTAGTTGGAATGTCCTCGAGCCTAGCTCTCACCCACACAGGCTATGAGTAACGCTCATTTACTTAAGTAAAGTTACTCATATCTTACGGTGTTTGGGGAGGAATCAGACTCCTGAATTGCTTTAAGGCCTGGAGAAGGTAGATGAAGTGAATTTCAGGTCGTATTTATCCTGTAGAAACTAGTCAGGGTTTAGACTCAAGTGTTCCACAGCATTTCTTTTTTTATCATTCTTTTCCATAGAATCACAAAGTTTACTAGTGTTTAAAAACCAGGAAACCATTGCTTGTCCCAGACAAACAATAGCTTTATTTAGCTTGGTTTCATTAATAAATGAACAGTAGAATTTTCAGAGCTGATTTCTGCTATTCCTAGTTTCCTCTTGCCCTGTTTCACTGTCTTCAACCTCTAAGTCACTGGTTAATTAATGTGGCAGGAACCCCGTAGGTTATGTTTGCTCACTGTAGATATGCCTTCTTTCATTATTCCCCCTTAACAGCTGCAGAGTCTCCAGTGTTCTAGCCACGGTGCAGTGTAGTAATGCAACTCAGAGACAATCACAGGAGGGGTTTTTAAACCATGATAGGGGTGGGGAGAATATGTTTTACTTAAAAACTGCACTCTCTTTTCCCTTGTAATGATGTTAAGTTCCATTCATTTAATTTAAATCTCAGAAATTTTTCTTTCTCCATCTACCTAAAGAGTTTGGCCAGAGCTGGCTATTGACATTTTTGGTATTCATGTTTGAAGATCTGGCTAGAGTTGTTGGAGCCCCTTTAGGAAACCTGTAGAATATGCATGTGCACGCATTTATCACGTGTTTCTGGGACAAAAATCCCAAGTCAAAATTTGCTGATTGGACTCTTCTCAGCCCTGATATATAAAACTTTTTATTAGTTTGGTTTGTCATCATTTCCTTTGAATGCTTATTAAAGGTTTTCCTACAATTCTTGTTTTTCTTCAGTCATTTTTATTTTTTGCTGGTGTTTCCCAAGCTTTATACTGAGCCTTATCAGACAGTTTAACACTCTAAATTAATAGGTGTGCTTATTAAAAATGTTTGAAGTACTGCTTTGTCATCTTTCACTATTCCTCCCTTTGCAGGTTAATTAATAAGAGATTGCATCTTACTCATTCCATCTCTCAGGAAGCTGCTTCAAAGAATTACCCAGCTAAGCCAATGCCTTACAATTTTAATCCTCACTGTCTAATACTTTGCACTGATATTGAATCTTAATAATCTGAGATGGTCGTTAAATACTGAAGGCCAACATGAATGATACATTTATATAATTGCTTTTAATTGCACAATCTATCTTTGCAGAACTGTTTATGAGATGTACATAAACAAGAATATTTCAAAATTGTGATAGAAATCAGAATACATTTTGAAATGCACCCTTATATAATCTTAAATATAGCATTCCACATTGTATCAGGTAAGCAAAAATTACAGTCAGTTGCCCAATATTTCCATAAATTTCACCAATTAATTATGTGAACATGTGGCTAATTCATTCTAACAGATATACGTTTTTTATAAATGATTGGAAAAATAGTTTAACAATTCCTGTTATTGTAATTTCATCACTGTTTTGCACCAGTACAGATTAGATACAACAGCAGGTTACAAAACCATAAGAACAAATGAATTGGAGTGCAGAAACACAAAAATCAAGGGTCTAGTCTTGATTTGACCTTGAAGTAAATACAAGTTCTGCTTTTGAGTATGACTTTTAGAAACTGAATTCAGTAAAATGTACTTAAAGTCTGTTGTTTTGCAGATTTGTTTGTAGGATATTGAAGGGTAAAATGAAACAAAATGATCTTTTGGTATCGGATTTCTATTTGCAGTTTTTAAGCTAGGAAAGATATCCATTACTTAGCATTTGTCTCTTGCAGTGTGTTTTTGGAACTTTGTCCAATTCAGTTTTAAAGTATGTATATAATTGGCCAATGGTAAGAGAGGGTGCCTATGTTTTGGGCTGCCAGAATTGAGCATCTGGCCTCTTACATCAAGCTGGTTAAGATATCTTAAACCGGGTACTCAGCAATGGAGGAAACGTAAGGCACCACTCACTTCAGATTAGTGGTAGCTAATATTTTTCAAAATTTCAACTAGGTGTATCTTCATCTTTGCCAAACATATTGAGATGCAGATCTGGCCTTTTTCTGAACACTCAACAAGGAAGGAATACCTTTAAAGGAAAACATACATTCCATATTTTTTTCACGTTTTAACAGTCTTGGTATTTTTCAACAGCAGTAATTTGGAAACTAATTATATTGAATTTAACTTTACCTGATATATGATGAAGAAAGAAGTTTTAAATGGACAAAAATATAAACAGGTGTAATTAATAAATTAAGTGTACTTTGTTGGTGCTCTGTACCAGATAGTCATTTAAGCAGTTTATAATCCACATTGCATTATATTTTTATATTCTTTGGATAGTATCAATATTAAAATGTGTTCCCTTTTCTGCCTCACAGGTAGCCTCTCTGGGAGTCACTACATTCACACTGTGTGCCCTATGTATAGACCGATTTCGGGCTGCCACTAATGTACAGATGTACTATGAGATGATTGAAAACTGCACATCAACTACTGCCAAACTAGCTGTTATATGGGTTGGTGCTTTGCTTTTGGCACTTCCGGAGGTAGTGCTACGTCAGTTGATAAAGGAAGACCCTGAATTTAGTGGCACTCTGCCAGGGGAGCGATGCGTGGTAAAGATTTCTACTGAATTACCTGATACCATTTATGTATTAGCTCTCACATATGATGGTGCAAGACTCTGGTGGTATTTTGGCTGTTACTTCTGCTTACCTACCCTCTTCACTATTACCTGCTCCCTAGTAACAGCAAGAAAAATCAGAAGAGCAGAGAAGGCATGTACAAGAGGCAACAAGCGACAGATTCAACTGGAAAGTCAGATGAACTGCACCGTGGTGGCTTTGACCATTTTATATGGGTTTTGCATCATTCCTGAAAATATCTGCAACATTGTGACTGCCTACATGTCCACAGGGGTCTCTCAGCAGACTATGGATCTCCTCCATCTCATCAGTCAATTTCTTTTGTTCTTTAAGTCATGTGTTACCCCAGTCCTCCTCTTCTGTCTTTGCAAGCCTTTCAGCCGGGCCTTTATGGAGTGTTGTTGTTGTTGCTGTGAAGAATGCATCCAGAAGTCTTCAACGGTGACGAGTGATGACAATGACAATGAGTACACCACAGAACTTGAACTATCCCCTTTTAGTACCATCCGCAGAGAAATGTCAACCTTTGCTTCTGTTGGGACTCACTGCTAACTAACTTTATGGCTTTATTTTTAGTATTTTTCTTTATTTTATTTTTAACATCATATTTTCCTTGTTGAAATAAAATACAAGAAAAAATCTTGATTGTAAGAACTGCCCTGCAGGCCAATTCCCATACTAACAGTTGTGCTTTGGAAAATAATTTCTGTTTTAGTTATCAAAATAAGAGAAAAAGAGCCGGCGTGGGTTTTTAAAAGCGTTAAATTGGTCTGGTGCTAGTCTTTTCCTGTTTGGGGATGAAGAAATCATGTCACTCCATCTGATTTAATTTCTTGTTAGTTTATTTGATAATCACTGTAACTTGATTGCATAGATGCATTTGTGGGTTTTTGCAAAATGTTTAATGTAAAAGATGTGGTGGAAAGTATTTGAAGTTAGTTTAAATCCCATTTACTGTACACCATTGTGAGATGATTTGGAGTTTGGAAAATTTACAAAGTAGCATAAAAATAAATGAGATTTTATTCTTTACCTTCAGTGTCAACCCACATTTAACAAGGATGTCCATAAAAATAATAAATTTCTTTATTAAAGACAAAAAAACTTTGCTTTATATAGAATACTTTAAATTGATCATATTTAATTTATCATTCTCGTATTAACACTTGGCATGTGTAAAGGAGATCATTATAATGGTATTTGCTTTATGCAAATAGTTTTTAAATGTTTATAAGGAGGGTTCAATATGCTACATTTAATTTTCTTTTCCCATCTGCAGATCTACAATGTTTAAGTTACTTTGTTCCTTTTGAGAAGCAAGCTTTGTTTTCATATTGAATTATATGGTGTGACTTCAGTAGTTAACTTTCCTCTTTGCTTTTTTTTAACACTAAAGTCATATCTTGAGTCTCTCAGTGTAATTCCTGTTGGTGTCAGTGAGAGTGCCACTGCACAGTAAGGGCACTGCTTTGCCACGGGTTTGGTGACAATAAATGTGAGGGAGTATAATATGTGGAAAGTGAATTCCTTTTTTACTTTGTTTTCCTGGTAGTTGCACTTTCAGACCCAGAGGGCTTGACTCAAAGTGCTTTGATGTCTGTAGAAAGATTCCCACTGATTTAACTATGCTGTGTGGATCAGGCCCACATTCTGAGATATACCATGAATGTTAAAAATGAGAATTATGGAAACAAATCATAAGCATTCAGTATGCATCCTTCACAGAGACCATGATCCTCGCATCTTTTTTTTCTGAACTGTGTTGTTTTGCTGACTGTCTCTTACTCTGCACAGATATAAATTGGGTATCATCTGCTCTAAATACTGAGTATAGTGTAGAGACACCCAAGCTAGCCTGGGTTCCAAAAGTAACCTAGTCAGGACAATGAGGAGTTTGTGCAAACTAACTTACCTTGCTTCTTGTCTGTGATGGCTAGACTGCTTGAATGGCTTGGATATCTCTGCTACATAGCAGACTTCAATGTCAACATAAGCTATGAGACTGGTTTAAATAAGAGATTCATTCACAGGTAACAGAATCGGCATATGCTCAGCACGTGCTCTGAAATTAAAAGTAGTTATAACTGATCCAGTCTACTTTTATCTACATACCTGTTCCTCCCATTATTCTCAGTATTTAGTTATATAGCGAAAACAAAAGAAAGGTTATTAGTCTGAAGAGCTATGCGCTTGACTCCTTGTTTTTCTCTGATTTTGAATCAGGTAGTCTTTATTGCATTAGACCTTAATAACTTAAGCATGTGAATAGTTCTGCTATAACTACTGTTAGGCACAGGCTTAAATTCCTTGCTGAATCTGAACCTAAGTTCTCAAACAGTTGGGTAATGTGCTTATCAGCTCCTATAGGCAGGAGCTGTTTTGTGGACTTTTTCTCTTTCCAGTCCCATTTCTGTACACCTCCTGTGGAAGCTAAAATGTTTGGTTACATGAAATGAATTTTAGGAAAGTTGAAAATAAACTCCCTCAACAAAACGGTTACAATTACTTACCTACCCTCAGCCCTGCTGCTTTTTAATGCTACTTCTTCCCCTGTTGCTATAAAAATCTACTATAGGAAACAAATCTCCCCTCTTTGCCCTATGTTAGCTATGAATTTGCAGCCTGAACTTGGTTCTGTTTGCTACCCCTCCAGTTTTGGTACAGTGTGCAATATACACCAAATACCTGGAAAAGTGATCACAGGAGCCACATGACAAGATACAAGAAAGTGCTTGTTTTTGCTTTATTTGGCCAAAAAATCACCTGGAAGCTTTAATAGCTGCATTTATGAAACGCAAGCATGATGCTCCACTGGGGCCACACAGAGCCACTAGCCACTGGGGGAGATAAGGGAGCATTAATCTTTCCTTCAACTTTACAGCCTGCAATAAGAGCATCCACATGGCATCAGGATCTACTGTTTGCTAGAGATGAAAGGCTTTGTATCCCATCCAGTTCTTTCCTCAGTGAGAGTCACAATACACATATGCTCATTCTTCCAGCAATTTCTTTGAAATAAATCATCAACAGATTCTTGATGAGAAAAGATAAAGGGGGAGGGATTTGCAAATCAATAGAAACTTCATGGCTAAAATCCCATTCATCTGTTTGAAACTGTATCCCTTGATAAGGACAGTAAAAATCTCTGGCTTCATGCAGTGGGACTTGATTGTCTAAGGTTTAATCTGTAACTAAAAAAAGCAGGCTATTTCCAGCTTTTCGTTTGGTTCTCTGTAGTAGCTGGACATGGGTGGCACCATTTTATTCTGATTTGTATTCTAAATTGATTGAACTACTCCTACATTAAAAGGTCTGCATTGTTCTAGGGGTATAATATAGCGATTGTGACAGAAGCGTGGCTTGTTAGTGCATGTAGGTGTCAAATGATAAATGGTCTCTTTTGTTTGCTTTAAAGATTGTGCACTACATTTTTTCCTATCCTAATTCTAGTTTGTTGCTCAGAAATCCGAGCCCCATTTTTTAGTTTGTTTGTTTTTTCCCTTCTGCTTTTCACTTTGTTTTCTATCACCAATTTTTCTTGGAGGTTCCC